CGGGTGGCAGGGGGCAAGACCAGCCTCTACCCCCACCCCGCAGGCTGGGAAACTCGGATATTGTCCCCTGGACAATCCAGGGATTAAACAAAGCAGCACGCAGTGATAACGTCCCATCCCAGGAGCTTTTGCATAGCAGCGAAAGGACAGCGCTTTTCGAGCCACTAAAAATTTATTAGGTACAAAACACATTTACACCGGATGGTGTGGAAGCACGTCCAAAAACACTTTGGGGATTTTACAGCTGAATTCCACGGAAACCGAGAACATCAACAGCAGCACTAGGGTAAAGCACGGCTGAGAGCATCAGAGGCTTCGCTTCACATGCAACCAGTGAAAGTTACCACAACTCAGCCCGACAAAAGTATATGTAGTATAAACAGCCTCGAAGCGTAATTTCTTCAGTTTAAATTTCTTATTTCAACTTAATATTAAGCTACTGTTGCTATTCTAGGTTTAAGAGAAATAATACAAATGCTATTAAAAAAAAAATCACGACTATAAATTTACTTTTTTGGAAGGTAGCTGACAGTTTTAGGCTACTGAGAATTTCAGATGAAATTAGAAGTCAGTCAGACAATTGGTCTCTGGCAGGCAAGACAATCAGCATCTACCCCTGAAGCTGAACTAACTTGTACTTCACCAAGTACAAGTTTGTGTCTGAGAAAAATATGCTCATATTGTAATAAAAAGATTACTTGTACAGGAGTACTGCAGTCATGAAGTACATCTTCCTACTACTTACTGGGAATCAATATTAAACTAAAAAACAAACGTCTTCAACTTCCAAAACCACAACTTTTTAAATACTGGAGAATGCAGGTAATCTGCACTCTTCCAAACAAGGAAAATCCTTCCTCCACAGCTGTTTACTGAGGACTGAAGAAAGTGTCCTGCTTTCCAGCATGACAATTAATTTGTAGAATAAGCAACTCATCTGGTTTAATGCCTTAAATATTCAATGCAATGAAACTTGGGCCAGCAACACAAAAGTCATTCTGGATTTGCACTGAGTATCGTTAAGTACAATATTGAGAATGACAGTATTGACATTCCTGGACAGCAAACCAACAACTTCAAACCACAGTGCTCCTGCAAGGTAGCCTCTGCATGAAGCAAGCAAGCACAGACCTGGGACAGCATCTCCAGGACTGTGTTTACAGAGAGTAAACCTCTGATGTTCCCAGGGGTTCCTATAACCTCATAGTTTTCTCCTGGTGAAGCTATGTTTACTCACAGTGAGAGCTGGTAGAAAGAAAAATCACCACTAAGTATCAATTTAAGGCTTTCCACAAAAAGGATTTGACCCATCTCTGTGCCTGTGAAGCAGAAAAGCAGGGAGGTCCCAGACCAGTCAAAAGCTCAGCAGTGAGCCAAAGGGACACAGTGAGACACAATATGCCAGTTCTGTGCAAGGCAGCCACGCGAGAAGGCCCCGAACCCCACGTCTGCTCTGTGTTCTTTTCCCAGGAGGACATTCACTTTTCCGGTAACGTGACCCAGGAGCTCATCTGTTGCATCACCCAGCCCTGGATTTCTTTACTAAGTCTCTTGGTCTGCACACGTATCTTGGCTCAGCTCAAATATCCACCATGTCCACCAGAGCCGACAGATGGAGCTCAGAGGCAACTTCACCCTCCTTGTTCGCTCTGAGGAGCCGTTGCAAGTGTTTCAGTCTGTCCGACAGTGTAGGGCTTAGCTCCTTCACCAAAAGCTTGCATCCCTCTTGACTCCCAGCCTGGGCAGAAAGGAAAAAAGAGATGAGACTGAGAAAGAAGCATTACCCATAACCGACAAAGGACTTCTCAGCTCACTGGCTGTTCCCTCACTTTTGAGAACAACCATGGAGGTCAGCACTCTCCACCTCTGAGGAGGTACAGCAAGAATAGCATGTTCTTTCATTTCAGTCCCCAGCCTTCCTTTAACTTCCCAAGACTTAACTTTACCTTCCCAGGACTTCCTTAGTCCTGGGAACTAGGACTTCCTTAGTCCTGGGAAGCTGACCCACAGCAGTGACTCTCTAAGTGTAGCACCTTAAGGGATACTGTTATGACTGCCAGCAGCAGAAAGCACCTGTGAAAAACTCTTATTCCAGATCTGCAGAAAGCATTCCCCTCCCTGGAAAGTTATTTTCAAGGTGTTGTTTTTCAATTATTTATTTCCCAAGTCTATCCAACACTGCACACCAAAGTAATCTCCACTAAAGTTTTTGGAACTACAGCAGGTTGGGCACCTGCACTCCTCAGAGCTCAGTTAATTCTCAGTACCACCCTTCCTTACTTCTTGAGCAGATGATACGGGACTCTTCACCAACGGACAGGCAACAGCTGGAGTGGAGACCAGAGACTGGGGGAGGTAGAGAGGAAGACCTATGAAATCACCAAGAGGCTCAATGTCCTCAGCTAGGCATTGGTGCAACTGCTCTTCAAACCTGGACAGAAAGATGAAGATCACCAGTCAGATTGCAGCCTGGCTTTGTTCTTGTAACCAGTGGGTTAACCAAGAGTCTGAGGTTCAGAGGTGTCTGCAAGAAGGATCTCAGTCATTTCCAACACTGTCTGACATACCCACTGCTGCGATGAAAATCCATCGTAGAAGGTTGTTGTACAGAAAGGAGCCACCCAGACTGAAGACACTCAACTGATGGGGAAGGCAAAAATGACAAGAAACCCTTGGGCCAACCTCAAAACCTTTAGTACTTCAGCTTTGAGATCTGCATTGCTACAGGCACCAAACTGACATCCCAACGTGGACTTTATAGACATTTGTGATACTGCAGGACACAGACTAACGTACACACTGTACTGCTTTAGCTTTAGTGACTTGATTGACCAGTTTCCAACCGTTCCTCACAGCTCCAAGTTCTTCTACCATCCCAGACTGTTCCTGTGATGCTAGCAGGAGCTAGCAGGGAACTGCACTGTGCTGATGTGATTGATGAAATTAGATGAAACTGGAGATAGCCTAGGCTGTTTCCTAGCACTGCTGGACTTCGGCTTCCCATTATGTACAAGTCATAAATTGTTTAAAACCCTGGGCCAGAGCTGCAAGGAAAGGATGCTGCTCTGGAAACTTACCTTCTGCTTTCTATTTTCTCCAGTTGCAGCTGTGCCAACAGACGCTCTGGGAGAAGCTCCTGGGCTGAGGCTGCATCTGCGACTACATCTGCATTGGGAATGCTCTTCTCTCGACGTGACGGCATGCTTATGCCAGAACAATATTGACCTGCCCTCCTGGAGACACTATAGGGTTTCTTAAAAGAGTTGGGAGATTCTACCATTGACCTGAGGGAGGAGGGGAAAAAAAACAAAAACAAAACCAAACAAAAGCACAGAAATTGGTATAAGCATGTTGATTTTTCCATATTAGCTTGAAGTTTAGAAGTAGCATGGCGTAAGAATTGACCATCTGGAGTCATAATTCCCTTGTACTGGGGTCCAACATACCACCACCTGGGCATGGGATTTGAGAGGAACTAATCTGACAAGGGGCTGGGATTCACCCCAGAGGTGAACCCAACATCTTCTGCTACACAGCAGAGCAGCATATAAGCTTCCAAGAGGGAAGAGAGACTGGCTTCACTCTGAACAAGGCTAGGGAAGTGAGCTGGACTCTTGAGATCTCAAATACTTTAAACACCACACAGCTCTAAGGCACCCTTCCCCCTCAACCTCTAGCATTTCCTCTTAGCAGTAGGAATTTCCTGATGTCTTCCCACAAGCTGGGGGCAAAGCCTCCTTTTGAACTTAAACCGCTGCAGAATTAACATGTTATTACCAAAGAGTGAATCTGCACATCATCTAAGACGTAATTCATCTGTCAGGTCCAGGCTGCAACTGAAGGTGAACGTAACGGAGGGGACACTATTAAATAAAGGGCATACTCATGATTTATCCCCATGCTCTTCCCGGACCTCACGCTGTTTTTCCTCCATGATTTGTATACCTGGAATACAAGTCTAATTCCAAAGCCTCAGCAGTGTTTTCCTTGGCAGAAGTTAATTTCTCCACGTGTAACACACACTAAGCACCCTCCTAAGCAATCCATTTCTTTGAGAGCTGAGTAACCCTACAGAAATAAAACCAACTTACTACCTGGTTTCAGCACACCCTTGTACATCGTTTCAAGACGCAGTCTCGGAGGACGCCATATGCTGGTTTCCAGCATCATGACGGCACTATGTGCTCATTGTAGAGGCCCCAAGTGAACTCCTTGGAGTTCACTGAGCAACTCTGACGGCATCCTGGACAGCTGAATGCTACTCCCACAGGCAGTGCTAGCGGCTGCCTCACCTCTCATGGCCTTGCCGGATCTCCTCTTGTGTGCGCAGTCTGGCGTGTTCCCATGAAGAAGGGAGAGTGAAGTTCTTTAAATGCTCCTTGAAGAAGTACACACGAATCTGACCGTCTTCACTTACCGCTTCTGTGAATAAACCCAAAGCCAATGTTTAACATTAGAACAGATTTTCTCTTTCAGAAGAAAAGCTCAGTATTGAAAAACCAACTTGAAGAAAAATTGCGTGTTCACATTCAAGTAGCTTTAAATTGCAGTCTGCATGCAGAAAGAGCCTTCTTGAACTGATTTACTGTCCAACAGACACCAGATTACTGGAAAGGACTGTAAAACGCTGCTTTATCTTAATTCTAAAAATTCTAGTGCATCCAAGTTCAGAGTTCAGTGGGTTAAGTAGTCATTTCATTAAAAGAGGCTCCCTATAGTTAAGCCAAAGAGGACACCAAAAACACCCCACACACTTGAAATGGAAAGCAAACAGAATCCAAGACAAACTTCCTTAATCCACGGAAGTGCTCGTTAACAGTGGCAGCCTGCTATCTCAGCTGACATGAGCTTACAAGACTTCTGAGACCAACTCTTGGCCTTTAGTTGAACATAAACCCTCTCCTACTAGGAGAGGAAGGCTGAAAGACTCTAACCATATTCCTCCACATGGAGACAAAGTTTTTCATCACAAGCTCAAGCCAAGACATAATCAACACTAAACACACACTCCAAAGACCAGGCAGATGTACAGTAAGCACAGTGTCATTCTACAGAAGGAGATCAAGACCATAGCTCCTTCCCTGCTATGCATCACTCGCTGCCATGCATAAAGGCACTCACATCTAGTTCAGAAGCACAGTTATGCAAAAAGTGTCACCTATGCTGTAGAAGGACACATGATACCTGGAGCAACAGGCAGTTTGGGTGGTTTCCAGTCTCTCAGTTTATGATCAATGCAGACTGCCAAGATATCATCCCAAGGGATCTCATCAACAGACGGCCCATCTTCATCAAAGTTCCCAGATGTTTTGTTCTTCCACTTCTGGTAAGTTTTGCTCAGCAGATTCTCCACTTGGGACTGGATCAGTGGTTCAGTATGGGAAGAACTAGCAATCTGAGACACGTACTGAAAAATCATGCGGCAAACAGGACGCCAAGGAGCTACAACAAAGTAAATTGCAAGAATTTGTGAGTATCAAACCACCCATCTTACAGGCGGGCAGCTGAACACGGCGCAGGCACATCTGGGAGAAGACGTACTGGCACCAAGAGGATACTGCAGTGTGAAGCACGTACCACCTAATGGAGGCAGATCTAGGTATGGGATCTGGAAGGACAGCACAGCCTTCTTCAGCCACGCCAGGTGATCAGGCATGTTCCACTGCAGGTGGGGCAACAGCTTGTTACCTCCAGGCTCTGAAAACTCGGTAACAGGCCAAGACAAGTCACAAAGGTGCTCCGAGGATGCCACATCTGAAAGAAACTGCAGCACGCTGTTGTACAGCTCTATGATGAGCCCAGGCTCCTGAGACGGCAGGCCAGCTAAACGCCTCTCCTTCCAGTCGTGGTAGAAGCGCTTGCCAAATTCACTATCAATTCCATCTTCGACATACTCCCGAAGGGTCTGACTGCAGAGCTCAAGGGAGTCAGGGCACTGGGAAACCAGCCAGCCCACAGCCGCAGAGATCTACGAAACACAAAACACGGGTGGTTGGAAACTGCTCCGCAGTGATCGGGACACAAAGTATTCGATCCTGCAACCCCAAGTTTCACATAATGCTATTCGAGGTACTGTACAGCAAAATACAAAGAAACCAACTACCATCATCCTGATATTTGCAACAGTGATTCTCCTACTAGGTGCTCACAAACTAAATTCTCATGCAGCAGGCTCAGGAACAGACAGAACGAGTCTGTTCACAACAGGTGCAGCTGTGCTGTGGAATTCTCTGCTGCAGGATGCTGGGGATGCTGAAAAGTTATCTGGGAGAAGTTAGACAGATTCAATGAAATCAGCCCAGGGTGACCACACCCAGAGAAGCCACGTCTGATCCTGGCAGTCCCTGATCTGCAAAGAGATGCAAGCTGTGAGGGTTTGTAGGAGATAATCACTTTGGGCTTGTCTTGTTCTCACCTTCTTTCTTAGGCATCGTCTTCAGACACCGTGAGAAGGGAATCAAGTACAAAAAGGGAATACACAAAGCATGGAAGCAGGGGCTGGTAACCTGGGATGAGTACAAGGAAGTTGCTCATGTACTCAGAGACCAGGTTAGAAAAGCTAAGGCCCTGACAGAGTCAAATCTGGCCAGCGATATTAGAAATAACAGAAAAGGATTTTATAGGTATGTGAAAGAAAAAAGAAAAACGAGAGAGAATGTGGGGCCTCTCCGGAAGGATACAGGTGACCTGGTTACTGAGGATATGGAGATGGCTGAAATATTCAACAACTTTTTTGCCTCAGTCTTCACTGGCAACCACTCAAACCACACCACCCAAATCAGGGTGGTTGACTGGGTCTGGGAGAGTGAAGAACCACCCAGGGTAAGAGTAGATCAGGTCTGGGAACACCTAGAGAACCTGAAGGTGCACAAGTCCATGGGACCTGATGTGATACATCCACGGGTCCTGAAGGAACTGGCAGCTGAAGTTGCTAGGCCACTAGC